ACCGAAGCAGTAGGCGTGAGCTTGAATGGACTCCAGAGGATGGTAGAGGACAGGAAGGTCTGGAGGAACCTTCTCCATGGGGTCGCAATGGGTCAGACATGACTTTGCAACTAACAACAACAATGGAAGTTTTGGGTACATTTTGGTCTGCTAATAAGAAAACCAAAATAGATCTAGAGAACAGGTGGCCTGCAAGTGTTCCAAAAAAAATTGTGATATCTATCAGGAGTTGCAAAATTGAAATATTTTAGAAAGTACATGTCACGGTGTCATATTTAATATAATTTATAGCTATCCATAATAAAAACCATCACCCTGGAGAGCTAACAAGACAAAAAAGACAACTCCTGGCATCCCAGAACAATATCCTCCCACAATTATCTCCTTATTTCCTCATTTAACCCTGATGCTTGTGGGGAGAGCCACATGTGTGTGGCGGTGTCTTTGTTCAGCATAATGTAACAAGTTCCTCAGATTTCTTTCATATTCACTGATCTGGGTATGTAATGTAGTTTTTTTTAAAAAACAGCTTATCCTGCATTTGCAGATTTGCATTCACAAATATGACTCACTTTCAAGTGGGGTTTTAAAATCACATTTAATATACAAAAAGCCAATAAAATTGGTAAGCTTTCTAATCCTAGCTTTGTGTCATTTCTAAGTCCTGTGTCCAGCAGCAGTAAATAAATACTGCCTTTAGAAGTGAAGGTCAGGAGGATCTGCTAATACTGCCTAAGGAGTAAATATTGCCGAAAGTACTTTTTGTTATGCCAAGAATTTCAATCATATGTGAAGAGAAGAAGGTGAATGTTCTGCTTATTCATTCAATATGTTTTTATGCGGAAGTGCTTTTGAATGCTGTGTAGAATCTACAGCTGATGCAGGATGCAACTGCCTGGTGGACTGTTAACTTATGAAAACATACTCTGCATCAACAAGGCAGATTGCCAGCTTATTTCTAGTATAACTTAAAGGGCTAGAAATCATCTAAAAGCACTCCAGTCTTTGAGAGCATACTTTGGACACACTGCTCAGGTTTCATAGTGCTATACCGAGTGATGCCAGAAGAAAGAGGTCTGGCCAGAGAAGAAGGCACAACATCTTGAAGCCTATCAAAAAGTTCATTTGCACTTATTTCACATTCTGGACATACTAGATTGTACTTACTAGCTTTTTTTAAGTATTTGCTTGCCTTTTTTGGGGGGAGGAAAATTCCTATTTTCAGAGCAAAAACACCTTTTCATGGTGGGCATTTAATCAAAGAGGCAGCTGTCCTTTTAAATTAAAACAGATGGAATAGAGATAGCTACCCATCATAAGGCAAAAAAGTGGGAATACAAAAATTAAGTGGACCATGATAATACAGTATCTGCTACATAAGATAATCTTACATATGGCTAAACATTTTGCTCCAAACTAAAATTGCTAACAATTGCTTGCAAAAAAGAGAGCGGGGAAAAACATACAATATCCTTAGTTCATTTTCTTACATGATAGATGCTCATTTTCCTTGCATTTCTTCTATTATACTGCTGAATGTTTTCTTCAGATTCATAGATATAAATTGTAAAACTAATTTCATTGAAGTCACTACTCTACATCCTTGTTGGAATAATGGTAACTTAGATCTCCTGGAGTTAGTGAACAGTTTTTGTAAATATGTTAAAGCTATAATCAAAGCCTCTGAATGCTAAACTGTAAGTAAATAGCAGATTTAAACAGCACATATGAAATTCTGTATGACAACTGTAATTCCCTTTCCCACAATGGACCTTCACCCACAGTTCCAACTCTTTGCAACAATCTAGTTCTATCTAGAGCAGGGGTGTAAAAGTCGATTTCACTGACACTGCATCAGGGTTGTGTTTGACCTCGGGGGGGGGGGAGGCATGGCCAGCTTGACTTCACTCGTGTTGTGGCCCAAGCACTCTACCAGCAAAAACAGGCTCCTGAGCTATACTTTCAGGTGCGAAGGTCTCCTGCAACCCTCTGCCAGTGAAAATGGAGCCACTTGTGACCCTCCCAAGCTCCATTTTTGCTGGCAAAGGCACTATGCACCGGCCCTTTGCTGTTTCCAGAGTTGCCTTGTGGGTCAGGTCTAAGCAACCTGCGGGCCAGATCCAGGCCCAGACCTTGAGTTTGACACCCCTGATCTATAGGATTACGGTTTGGAGACTGTCTGATCTATTTTTGTAAAAAAAGGTAATTGTAGCTGTGAAGTAAAAGCTTCCCTTCCCCATTCTAGGGCTTTTAAGGAGATTTGCAACCTCTCTGAACACTACCAAAACAAACACATTTGGGTTTACTGTTTCATGGAAAGTTTTAATTCAGTACATGAAGGGATAATCTGGCTCCATTGCTTATCCCCCAGAATCAATCTTAGGATTGAACTAAAGTATTAGATATTATTTCCGAAATGAATGTATTATATCTTTCACACAGCTAATTAGATGAGTCATTTGAGTGGCCAACTTGATTTTTCATTCGCAAATGTTTTATTTTTGAAAAATATAACCGTCTCTATTATTTATATAACATATTATGTGCTTTCCCATGAACTCATTCATACAGTCATCCCTAATTAGTTTCACAATGATGCATCAAGTCTTTTCTTCATTTCTAGAGGCTGCTGGATCTATAGTACTGTAAGCCCTTGGAATATTGGTTAGGCAAACTGATAGAAATCCATTTCAGTAATTTTGAATTCCAACTAAGCAGAAAAGGACACATGCCTAAACAATATGTTTTGCAAACCGCATCAAAATGCTCTTTTCTCCAAACTTTTATAATATGTGAGGCGATTCTTTGATATAATATAGCTAATGACAATATGTATTATACATGCACAACTTCAAAAATGATTTCAGAAAAGTAATTCTGCTATTTTATGTTGCTATTACTAGTATTGTATCTTATATCAATATCTCAGGCTATCATAAATACAATGCACACAATTTTCAAACTATCTAAATATTCTGAACAAAATTTGAATTATTAAACGTTTGCACTGAAAGCTATTGGAATTTGCCTGAATGATAAAATTTAACACAATGCATTTTCTGGAAACATATTCTTTGGACCAAGAAATGCTTTATGGTGGTATGCATATACTGCAGGGGTGGGTTTCAGGCGGTTCGCNTTGCCATGATCCCATGTTAAGATAAATTGCTGGTATTCTGCCAGTTCACACCGGTTCGGGTGAACCAGTAGTGGCGGCGGTGCAAGGCTCCACCCACCCACCCAAACGTCATCACAGACCTTCTGCGCATGTCCAGACATGTCACATGCGAGCTCCCACTACCGAATCGATAGTGAAGAAGAGAGGATACCATTACTGGTATAGAACTATGTACTGTTCACTCTTTAGAAACATTCACTACTAGAAAAAGAGGACTCATGCCATACATTTCCAGGAAGGTTGTCAAAATAAATTATAAATTGAGTAATTAAGTATAAATTAAGTAAGTCTTAAAAATAGATTTTTAAAAATTTTTAAAAATTTAAAAATTCTTAGTTTAAGAATAAGTCTTAAAATAACAAACTATGAGTTAGTCTGAAACTTCTTTTCTGAATGTTCAGGTTTAAAATATATGATGACATGGCTAAAAGATTTAGCCAAGCCATTCAGTTCAAAAAGTCATCTCAAGACATTGCATTAGTTACAGCTTTACGTGTTGATTGAATATTCTGTTTGTTCCTCTAGAATAAAAAAAATTAAGGATTTTTATCTGTGAGAACTCTTCTACTATATATTACTACATCTTGTATGTTCAGAGATTTTCTGGCCTATCAAAGGGCATTTTTACAAATGACAAGAGAATGCCTTTTTTTCTCTTTAGCCTGGTCTAGCATGTGTACTGAGTTAGTTGTTGAGCAACATTTAAAAAGACAATAAATGCTATTGTATTTTTAAAAGATTTTGGAGGGGGCAAAAACCAGTACTAGTTGTCTTTTTTTAAAAAAAAACCTTTTCAAGGATGTGAATGATTATACAATCTGTATTTAATAATATTTTATGCTGAGCCTTTCATTTCTTAGTAACTGTTTTGAACAACATGTTGCAGAGTGAACAAATTAGTGATATCAAATTCAGTATTGTGATGCAGCATCAGTTTGGTGTAGTGATGAAGGCACCAGGTTGGAAACAAGGAGATTGTGAGTTCTAGTCACACTTTAGGCATAAAAGCAGTCTGAGTAACTTTGGACCAGTCACACTATGCCAATCAGTTTCCAACAGGTTGAAAAGCACATGTTCCTGTATTAAATGTACTTACAAAATGTGAAAGAACTTTATCCAGTTAAACCAAATCTAACCCAGCTGTTACTAGGATTGGTCATCTGAAGAATATAAAAATGCATCACTATGTACCTTTTATTTTTACTTTATACCACTAGTTTCTAAAAGTGACCTGCATCATCAACATAAATGTCAGGCTCAATTATGTTCCATGTTGAGGACTACTAGTATGTAGAAACCATTTTAGTAGCAGTAGCAATAATAATAACATTGAAAAAATCACCACCAGTAAAAAGCAGCTTTACTTGGAACTGCTTACATCCTGATATCTTTAACACCAGCAAAAAACATAATCTGCCTATCCCAAGTCTCTGGGAAGGATTGATAGGTGGATAAAAATATCAAATCCAATCTGAACGGAGCTGATTATGTGACAAAGCATAATAGCAATAATAATAATAATTTGTTGACTTTAGGTAAAATGTCATCAATACTGGCCAGAGCCTGGCGGAAGCTCTTTATATGGGAATTTCCAAGTCACCTGTCATTCAGAAGAAGGAAATCCTGCCTATGTCTTCAGAGAGATGACATTATTTAACTTGGAGGTGAGACTTTCAGTCTAATTGATCCAATTTTGTGAAATCCATTAATTGAATTCAACTGAGGAAGAGAATATTTCTAGCTCCTGATTGAACTGTGGGGTCCTTGGTGTTCTCTGAATTTGTTTGATTTCTTACACATTTCATTACCAAACTACATAACATCATCACTTCTAGGCAGGAATAGAGTTGGCTCTCGTTTATATACTAGTTGTTTGCACTGTCAGTGTTGGTGGAATGGTCTGGCCAGTTCTTTTTTAGCCTGTTGTTTACTGTTAGTTTGCTTATCTGAGTTAGTGATTCCTTGACTTGGGTATTCTTTACTTCATGATTGTTAGTCTAGTGTTACTCTTGGAAGTCAACTCGCCATATAACTTCATTTCTTCCATATCATTTTGACTTTTACTTCCCTGTCACAATGGAGAGAATTCTAAAGCATTAACATATTATTGCTAATATTTTATTTAAAACAAAGAAATAATAATACAATATCAGAAATTAATTTTTAATTATTTTGCTATTTATTGCAAAAAAATTAAAGAATAAGAAACGCTGATGTTTAATACTAACAGTAACAAGAAAAGCACATTAATATTAGCAGTACAAGAGTTAGATTTAGACATAGGGTAAAGAAACTATAACCAGGACCTTATAGAGAGAGGTGGTAATTGACTTATGACTGTTCGTTTAATGACAGTTCAGAGCAGGGGTGGATTTCAGGCGGTTCGCAGCGGTCCCCGCGAACCGGTTGGTCGGCGAACCCGGAAGTAAGTAACTTCCGGGAACGCCGAAGGGTCCACCCGCCCGCCCGCGTTTCTTACCCAGTTTTGACAAGTTCTGTGCTTCCACGCATGCACAGCACGCATACAGCACCCGCGCGATCCTCCAGGAGCAGCTGGAGCATCGCACAGACGCTAGTACGCATTCGTGCACTGCGCACGTGCACGAGGACG